ATTGCGGATATCACAGATAAGCGCTATCCTGGAACTGATAAGCAATCCTTTCTCTTCGAGAGAATCATAATGTGATAGTTATTCTAATGTCAGTGTTACTTTGATTTTCATTGTGTGAAGATGAATCAAATTACAATGCATGGAACTAAAAATTGGTATATAGATTTAAGCGTTTTTAGTCGGAAAACGGTGCCCGCTGGAAATTTTATAATTTTGAAGTCAGCGTACTCACTTTGTATGCCTCGTAACTTTTTTATTTTTTTTAGAACTAACGTAAATATTGAAGAACTATCGAGAACTAACAAAGAACTAACGATTGGTATATAGATGTAAGCATTTTTATTTAAAAAAACTGTGCCCGCTGGAAATTCTATAATTATGAAGTTGGCGTACCCACTTTTTATGCTTCGTAACTTTTTCATTTTTTGAGAACTAACGTTAATATTGGAGAACTATCGAGAACTAACGAAGAACTAACGATTGGTATATAAATATAAGCATTTTTATTTAGAAAACTGTGCCCGCTGGAAATTCTATAATTGTGAAGTTAGCGTACCCACTTTGTATGCCTCGTAGCTTTTTTATTTTTTGAGAACTAACGTAAATATTGGAGAACTATCGAGAACTAACAAAGAACTAACGATTGGTGTATAGATATAAGCATTTATAGTCAGAAAACGGTGCCCGCTGGAAATTGTATAGTTGTGAAGTTAGCGTTCCCACTTTGTATGCCTCGTAACTTTTTTATTTTTTGAGAACTAACGTAAATATTGGAGAACTATCGAGAACTAACGATTAGTATATAGATATAGGCATTTATAGTAAAAAAAACTGTTCCCACTGGAAATTGTACAATTGTGAAGTTAGCGTACCCACTTTGTATGCCTCTTAACTTTTTTATTTTTTGAGAACTAACGAAAAAATTGGAGAACTATCGAGAACTAACGACAAACTAACGATTAGTATATAGATATAGGTATTTATAGTAAAACAACTGTGCCCGCTGGAAATTCTATAATTGTGAAGAGTGCGTACCCACTTTGTATGCCTCTTAACTTTTTTATTTTTTGAGAACTAACGTTAATTTTGGAGAACTATCGAGAACTAACGAAGAACTAACGATTGGTATATAGATATAGTCATTTATGGTAAAAAAACTGTTCCCGCTGGAAATTGTACAATTGTGAAGTTAGCGTACCCACTTTGTATGCCTCTTAACTTTTTTATTTTTTGAGAACTAACGTTAATTTTGGAGAACTATCGAGAACTAACGAAGAACTAACGATTGGTATATAGATATAGGCATTTATAGTAAAAAAACTGTTCCCGCTGGAAATTGTACAATTGTGAAGTTAGCGTACCCACTTTGTATGCCTCTTAACTTTTTTATTTTTTGAGAACTAACGAAAAAATTGGAGAACTATCGAGAACTAACGAAGAACTAACGATTGGTATATAGATATAGGCATTTATAGTAAAAAAACTGTGCCCGCTGGAAATTCCATAACTGTGAAGTTGGCGTACCCACTTTTTATGCTTCGTAACTTTTTTATTTTTTGAGAACTAACTTTAATTTTGGAGAACTATCGAGAACTAACGAAGAACTAACGATTGGTATATAGATATAGGTATTTATAGTAAAAAAACTGTGCCCGCTGGAAATTCTATAATTGTGAAGTTGGCGTACCCACTTTGTATGCCTCTTAACTTTTTTATTTTTTGAGAACTAACGTAAATATTGGAGAACTATCGAGAACTAACGAAGAACTAACGATTGGTATATAGATATAGTCATTTATAGTAAAAAACTGTGCCCGCTGGAAATTCTATAACTGTGAAGTTGGCGTACCCACTTTTTATGCTTCGTAACTTTTTTATTTTTTGAGAACTAACGTTAATTTTGGAGAACTATCGAGAACTAACGAAGAACTAACGATTGGTATATAGATATAGGCATTTATAGTAAAAAAACTGTTCCCGCTGGAAATTGTACAATTGTGAAGTTAGCGTACCCACTTTGTATGCCTCATAACTTTTTTATTTTTTGAGAACTAACGAAAAAATTTGGGAACTATCGAGGACTAACGAAGAACTAACGATTGGTATATAGATGTAAACATTTCTCCTTAGAAAACGGCGCGTGCTAGAACCCGGAAGTGTGAAGTTAGCGTACCCACTTATAATAGGCTATAACTTTTTTATTTTTTGAGAACTAACGAAAAAATTTGGGAACTATCGAGAACTAACGATGAACTAACGATTGGTATGATCAAAAGTGGATACGCTAATATGGGTACGCCAACTTCACGGACCACTAAAACTGCCATATCTCAGTTAATACTCGTCCGATCTTAAAGATTAAGGTGTCGATAGATTTTTAATAAAATTGCCTTAAAAAAGTTATTCTTGTAAAACTTTTGTAAAATCAACGGTTTTCGAGTAATTTAAGAAACAAAATTTTAAACAGCCGCCATTTTGTTTTATGAATTTGAAAAATCGTCATAATTTTTTTGTAGCTTTGTCTAGTTGTCATAAATGTTGTTGCAAAGTTTCAACTGCGTATGTTTAACCAATTTTCAGAAAAAAATAATAAGTGAAAAAAACAAAATGGCGGCTATCTGAGTAACTAAGGACTTCCGGACAATTTAAATATGATATTTAGATATGTTTCTTACCCAGGAACAATGCCCTAAAATATTGGTAGAGAGTTCCGGGACACCCTGTATATCTTATCTTACTAATATTATAAATGTGAAAGTTTGTGTGTTTGTTTGTTTGTTTGTTTGTTTGTTTGTTTGTTTGTTTGTTTGAAGTTCAATCACGCATAAACCACTGGACGGATTGGGCTGAAATTTGGCATCATGATAGCTCACATTCCCGATTAACATATAGGCATATTCTTATCTCAAAATTCCTTTCGGGCTCCGCCCCAGTGGCTCTGTAGTTCCCAATGTTAACCTTATGAGTATTCATACTTAAAGGAAATTAAAGAATTTAGTCAGCTGTTTCAACTAAAAAAGTTGGTTCTGTGATATTCAAAAGGATTAAAGTTATAAGATTTACCAACAGGGTGCAGCACTATATTTTTTTGCATTTATGTAATGAGAACTGTCAGAGTAGGATTGTTTACAGTTATCTTTATGTTTTTAATGTCATGAATAATTTGTGATTTTTAAGAATTTTTAATAATTTATTTTTATTACTTTTTAGGTGAAGTGGTAGAACATTATGGCTATATTAGTGTAATACCATAGTATACCGTCAATTTAAAGAAGCAAATTTTATCAAACTTTCTCCTCCCCCATTACAAACGCATAACTGCAATAGGCATTTTAAACTTATATGCCAACCCCGTACGAAGGACGGGTACTCTGCTAGTATATATATATTTGGCAGTGGTAAACTCAGACACCGCTGAACCGATTGCATACGTGTAGAATTTCATGGAATAGGTTTATACACCATCAATTTCGTGATCCGTCCAATCGGCTCCGCCCCAGTGGCTCTGGAGTTTCCCATGTTAACCTTATGAGAAATGGAATTAATGAATCTCAACAGCTGTTTCAATTAAACAAGTTGGTTCTATTCTATGATGTTCAATAGCATTAAAGTTACAAGGATTACCAACAGGGTGCAGCACTATTATTTCTTTTACATTTATGACAACAGCTAATTTGCAACCAAAAGGTGAGTGAGCATAGCGAACGAACTTCAACCTGGACTGGAGGCGAGTTAGCGTAGTGAACGAGCTAACCTAAAGGCAAATGAGCGTAGCAAACGAGCTAACGTGAAGGCAAGTGAGCGCAGCGAACGAGCTCCAACCTAAAGGTGAGTGAGCGTTTCGAACGAACTTCAACCAGGACGTGATTGAGCCATGCGAACGAGATAATCTTGAAAATTAAGAAGTTAAACGGGGCAAAGCCCGTGGGTTACAGCTAGTATCGATATAAACTAATTGAAACATATCAGCTGACAACTACGATAACTATTGTTCAGTAAAGTTATCAACATAGACAAACTATTTGTCGATGGTATCAAGAAACAATAATGAAATGAAACTGTTAAAAAAAATAACCTAACAAAACTAACCAAACTTGCTGTAACATTTAAAAATTCCGTGTTTAACTTGCCTTTTCTATTATCAAACCCAAACGGAATTTTAAAATTGTACCGAAAGTTTGGTTGGTTATGTTAGGTTAGCTTAGAACAGTTTCATTTATTAATCCATATAATAGACTATTTTAGCCTAAACAATATCATGGATCGGAAAACTAAAATATCGATGTAACGAAAAAATCATCGATAATTAATAATGAATGTTCCCTTTAACAGGAAAGTACCGGTACCAATTTTTGTAAACAAACTTGTAACGTTTTAAGACATTTCAATGACAGTTTGAAACCAGCTGTTAATTAAACAAAAATATAGCTCTGAGGCGACTTTCAATTTGTTTAGGTCGGCTGCTAGACTTTTTAAAACCTAAAACTCAATAAAAAAACTGAAATACCATACTTATGGCATCGACATTCCCAATTCCTTTTAAAACAATTCTTTATTTCAACACAAAAATCATAAAAATCTTTTAAGTTGTTGATTTAGAATTTTAAAATAAAAAAAAACCCTGTCAAGTTTTATAAGATGATAATTACAGTATGTAAGGACAAGGACTCAAGGTCATCAAAAATAATATTATGGAAACGGATGAAGGGAGAAATGTAGTTCCAGTGATCACGGCTAGGAGCAGCACAGATCAAAGGAATTTCTCTTAAAATCAATGAGGCGGAGTAATACTAAGCGGACGATGCAGATTGTTTCATTAAAATTCGAAAGAAATACATATGCTTCATCTCATCAAAGGAACAGCTATTTTATTATACCGTTTTAAACACTAAACATGGTTTAATGAATAAACTATTCAGTAAAATTGTGACAACAGGATCAGTTCAAAGGGACTACTTTTGTTAGTTTGACACTTGCAGACGATTGTAAACAATAGTTGTAGGTGGCCATTATTTAGAAACAAGTGCAGCGGAAGGTGAATCATAGAGTTTACTCAGATTTTTTGAACTGAGTCACTTCACTGAGGACATCCTTCAGTTCCTGTAAATCAACAGGTATGTTTTCTTTTATTGCTTAACTTAAACCTCTATTACTTGGCTCATTGACTATAAATTTAAGGTATTTTAAGTGACTTCTTTGGGTGTGGTGTAGGCCTAGCCTACTGTATCGTTGTAAGTTACAGTTCAGTTCTAACTTAATTATTTCCCGATTATAAATAAGCTTAATGAATCATTGTTTACAGTTACTTATTTAGGCCCGACTAAATTAAGCTGACTGAACTCACATATACAATATTTAATAGGGAGAGTCAGCAAGTAGGGTTCTACAAACATACTAGGCCTATCATAAGCTTAGCCCTATCCTAGGCCTAGCCTCTAACCTACCCTATCCCAGCTATTGAATTATTTTTTTTGCTTGAATACAGATTTTTGATTCTGTTCTGGGCTAGGCCTAGCTTAAGTTAGGATGTGTGGTAATTTTGGTTTTGTTCAACTGTGGAAGTTAAAACTTTTTTTAAAGATAGAAAACAGAGCCTTTCGTCTACACTTAAGCCAAGTTACACCTGGCAAGCATAGGTGCTGTGCTAATCGCAGAGTGTTGTTACATTTCCAATTCACAGCTAGGCTTACTAACTTAAGTAATCGCTGTAACGCTCAAAAGCGCCATTCAATAACTTAAAGCTGAACATAAGTTAGGAATCATCTCACTAAACATGCATAGGACCAAAGCACCAACATTGTTTGTCTAATGTTTCAACCCCCGGAAAAAACTATGTGTCACCGATCGTGTTGTTTTTGTTTGCTAGCCTATAAATATGTAAGTTAAAGTAAGTTACTTAAGCTTTTCAATTGATTTCATGTAGCCTAGGTACAATATTGTTGATTACCGTACCTACATGTTTTTAATAGGTACACACGCTTTTATATATTAATTAATGTAGCCTAACTTATACCTTAAAAAAAAAATGTTTTTCTAGCCTGATTTTTCAACATCCGAAAAGAGACTCAGTGTGTCACCGATCTTGTTTTAAAATCAAAGACACTGACGAAGGGTTTACTTTAAACACAGACTTGTAAATAGAATGAATATAGACCAGCAGCAGTGCTGCGGTTAGCATATGTTCCGGCGCCTACCACTAGGAGTGTCGTGTAGCCTAGTTATGGCGTACACCGCTGCAGTGTCTGCCGTTAGCATACGGCTTCTGCGTTCCTTGCCTGCAGGGGTGTGTGCCGTAACTATGGCACTCCTAACGGTGGGCGCTGGAAGCTTCCTTTGACAGTCTATATTTATTCTTTTGTCTATGTTTTAACCTACAGTAGGCCTACTGTATAACTTTAAGGTAGCCTACCTGGACCTGCATTAGGTCTAACTTAGTTTTTTCCTGTGCCAGTGTCATTTTCACTTGAACTCAATGTCAGTACTTAAACTCTTTAAGGGAAAGCGGCCCAAACCCATATAAAATGTTTAGTGGATGTTCCGGAAATTGAATTGTGATTCTAACAGTTAGAGAGAGCATGCTAAAAGGCGATATATCCTTGAGTATTCATTTCATGATCACACGCATTAAGTACAACTTGGTAAGAAAAGTTTCTAATTATTAGTCTAATTTGTTCAATTGAGCAAATAAATTCTGCTAAAGTAAAGATACCTTACACCGCCTTGTGATAAACCATTACATCCTAACAGTTAAAAGTTATAAAAGTTTAGAAGCTCCAGTAAGCATCATCATCAAATGCTGATGTTAAAGACAAAATAATTTATTTCTTATCTACCTATATATTTAAAAAGGCCAACATGAATTTTGTGATAGGCTCATTGTTTTGTTGCTGTCATGCAACCGATGACCATGTTTAAGGTGTCATTGGATAGGTCGTGGCATGTAGATTTGCCATCAAACAAAAAATGTTCTATCAGGGCTCTGCCCCAGTGGCCTTCAAAGTTTCCGTGTTATTCTTAGGGAGAAAATGTTTGCTTACATTTGAACAGATGAATACCGTACCGTACTTTGAAATTTACACTACAAATACGTCCCGTAAACATGTAAAAAACGTAAATGTCGTAACATTGTATTTTGAAAAGATTAATTAGGTAGGCCTATCTAAAATGTAAACCCACATCTATTCCTGAAATGAGAACCCATACTTAAATCATCGATGAACTTGATCCACAGGATTAACTGTACTGCATGTTGTGTATTTTAATAAGTAGGATTCAAGAAGGATCGCACGGGCCGGCTAGTAAGGCCCGGTTCACACGAGCGACATACCTAGCCGACTAGGCTGTGACTAGTTAAGCCCGACTGGGTAGCGGACCACAGGATCAAATGGAGCCGTTCACACGAGCATAGGGCGACGACTAGCTAGCCGAGTTCGAGCTTGGTGTCTCAAAACGTAGTCGGGCCCCGCTTCCCAGTCACTCGTGGCAGCTACCCAGTCACCCAGTCTAGCGGCATAGCAGTACACGTAGCCTTATAGGAGCATTCACACAAGCGATCGGGTAGTCGCGCTGCAGCTCGCATTCTTCCCATTGTTCTAATTGTGCACCAGTGATGGATCTTTTGATATCGATATTTTCATCTAGTCTGTGGACATGTCGCTCGTGTGAACCGGTGTATCCTGTGTCAACGTTACCCAGTCGGGCTTACCTAGTCACAGCCTAGTCAGCTAGGTATGTGGATTGTGTGAACCAGGCCTAATGATTTATTAGATTTGTTGATAAGATAAAAATGTAGGCCTACTCTGTTTTTAGTGGTTTAAAAATTGATATTTCACTTTAAAACACGTTTATTATGAAGGTGGAGGTCCAATGAACTTTAAATTCTACTGACAGCACAGCAGGTATACTATTTGTGGTAGGCCTACATAATTTTTTAGATCTTTGTTTTACTGAAACAAATAACAGGATAGGCCTATTATTTAATGAGTGGAGAGTATCAGTATCCACGGACCAATAATTCTTTATCCAATGTTATCTATTCTAAGGCATGGCATCTATTTTCATCTGCATGATTATTTTTGATGGGTGCATAAGAATAATGATCAAAAGTTATTGATATTATTTTAAAACATGTTTTTCATCTCCGAAAAGAATATTTGATTTTAGATTTTATCGGAAGGTAGGATGGGGGGGTCGCAAAAAATCTAGAATACACGTTGTGTTAAAAACAGGAATCTTGACATTTCGTCAGGCTTGATTAAGGAGTGACTGTAGGTATAGGAATGACCTTTGAAAAACATGTGGAGGAAATGTGTAAAAAAATAAAAGGAGTCTAGACACAAAATGAGCAGAACAGGTCAGAGCCAATAGAGACATGACTTGGAAGCATTTGATGACACTGAACAAAGGGTGTTGAGCCAGCAATGCTTTACGGATGCTAGGAAGATAAGTTTGAAAAGGAAACTTTTGAGTATGCAAAGAAGAGTTTTGTTGAAAGTAGGGAAGCCATACAGCACAGTTTCGCATGATACGATTAAACTTAGGGTTTTGATCGGGGCCATACCACTCAACCTGCTCATTGAAGAAAGGATTTAGGATTTTGGAAGACAAGGCCACGGGCAGGACTCTTTTACTTTGAATACCACTCGTATTTCTTGGATGATTTTGCTTGGATGATTTTGTGTTTTAAAACTTCTGGCTGGCTCTTTACATAATCGTAAAATTCTATGCATGTTATGTTGAAATTGTACATGCAGATTAATAGGCTATATTTTGTACAGTTTTTTAAACAGAGTGGCGGTTACGTTCGTCGGACCATTGTGCCTTCATTAATGAAAAAACTTATTTAACATTTACATTGTGTTCTGGAATTGAAAATATCCACTCGTAAATTTTCAAAAAATGGGAATACTGACTTTTATCCGTCATACCCTTGAAATATTCTACCCACTTTCTACTTAATCTTTCATATTTATTTTCATACTCATTGGCATTGTTTTTGTCAATTGACAATCGGATATTGTTTTTCAGGCAAACAAATTGATCAACAACAACTTCACTTTCTAGAAATGCAATTTTCTTGGATGTGAAATAAGCCAGCGTTTTTTCTATGTCATTCCATTGGTGTGGTCTTGACCACCAACCAGTTGAATGTTGATAAACGCTTGGAGCGACTCGCTCCACTTGCCTAGGTAGTCCCAAGCTGTCTGGAAAAAGTCCTTACACTCCTCCATAAACTCATCTTTATCCTCAACCTTCTGTTTATTTAAGATTTCCTTGGTTTGAAAACCAATAAAGAGTGAATCTTTCCATTCATTGAGGGCCTTTGATGTTTTGTTAAGGATTAATTTAACTTCAACAACTGAGATGTTTTATGATTCAATTGCCTTTATTTGCTTGTGAAACAGCAACAACTGGTTGTGAAGAAACAACACATAGGCCTCGTGTATTGTCTTAGAGAAAAAGTCTTGAAGTATCTTGGAGGGATTTTCTTTTGAAAGTAAGATTTCAAAGCCTCCCATAACTAAAAAATCTGTTCTACCGCAGGCATAAGAAAAACCCATCTTGTCTTGGAGTGGTACAAAAGTTGTTTGTAAGTTAAGCTACAAACTCACAAAAACATTCAGCTCCTCAGCTTGGACTGTGTAAATTGAGAAATAGTTGAAAAGTTTGACTACTATTGTTTCAACATCCACTGCAAGGACATCAGCTGCACTAGAAACTGTGTTGTGCAATATGTGTGCAGGACATCCAATCCTATGTCCTTTACCAAGCTGCTTTGGAGTTTGTGATAAATGTTATTTACCCCTTGCCTGTTTAAACCTCCGAAATTTGTGTTGGTATGAACCATTGACTATACACAGAATAAGACACAAAATGATGAACACTTATCTAAGGGAAGGTTTGCTTCAGCTAGGCTTGTTAAGACATTCATTTTTTAAAGAGGAAATCTTGATTATTTTACTGGTTATTCCTTTATTTTCTTTGAAATATTGAACTAGTACAGGGTCGGGAAGATTTTTTCAGCTTTGTGGTTACTGGCATCGGTTGAAACACCATAAAAGGAAATATTCCATAATATTCCATCATATAAAAGGAAAATATGAGTTCTGAAATACAAGTGCTTAATGCGTGTGGAGCCAATACATTGTTTATATGTAATTGCAGTAGGCCTACTTTTGGTGCGAGCTGTAGATTGTTTTGTTGCAGCTTTAGAATCAGATATGGGGTTCAATTTATTAGTACAATCTACTGAATTAAATTAGTGATGGTGTTTTACACTGTTGTAACCTCTGCAGCCGCCATTATGACATCTTAGAATCTTGTTTCACAAAAAAATTTGTAATCTGCTAGGAAGATGTTGCACCTTGTGCACCGACCGGCTTTATGTTTGTTTGTTTTTATGTGGTCTGCAATGTCACAGTCCTACCTCCGTGACTCACCGAGATAAAGCTGTTGCAGAAAGTGCAATAAGTCTCCTCTTCACTCCTTCCCTTCTTGATAAAAGTCCATTCCTTGGTGTATTTGTCACGAAAATGACACTTCCTCTTGGGCATTGTTGTCATTCACTTCACTTTCGTTTAGTTATTAGTAAAATATACTCAAAATCACATAAATACAATAGCGACTAGCTAGTGAGTACAGAACGTGGCTGTGAACAACTGTGTTAGTGAGTGTAGGCATACTCAGTGAAGTTGTGATTTACTGCACTGCCACTGGTCGTTAGTCGTCAATGCTGTCTGCAGGACACAGACAGGTTGACGGTAGCCGGTAGGCTAGGCACTAGTTACCAACCGTTAACAACTCCACGCATGAAATATCCCTAGCACAATATAAATTTCCCTTTTCCAGAAACCTCGCTCTTTCGTGTATTTTGCAAAACCGGGACAATATCGTGTCCCGAGATGCCTTTTCGGGACACTGGGACATGGAGATTAAAACCGGTGACAGTCCCGGTTTTCCGGGACGTATGGCAACCCTGCCCAGTGCTCAATTTCCTACAGGGGTTGTTGGAAACTCTAGATCACAAACTTATAAATAAAAATAAATATAAACTAGTCTAGTTTAACTTTAGTAAATTTACTAAATTTATACCATATTAACAATATTGACATTAAATGTTGATCTATAAATTCAGGTTTCATTTAGGTAAAGCCGGGTTTTCCTAGGCGCGTAGTCGGCCAGCGGAGAGAGGAACGCGGAGAGCGGACTCAGCTGGTCTTAGGTAGTTTAATGTTACTGTTTTCCTAGCAGCGGAGCGGAATGCCACGTTAATTTCAATTCCGCTCTCCGTTGTCCGCTCTCCGCTGGCCGACTCCGCGTCTAGGAAAACCCAGCTTAAGTTAGCCTAGATGCTTAATCTCGTTTAATTTCAAAACTGCTAGTAGGCTAGGTATATTTTTCAAAATACATAGTTAATACTCTTTAACTTAAGGGGACTGTGACTGAAAATATGATCAAACATGATAAAATTATTATTAGGACCTATTTTTTTAAGTAGGTAGTTTTTTATGTTATGTAGTAGTATTATTGCTGTTTACATGTAGGCATTGAAACATATAAGCCGATAAGCCTATGCCCATTTTTAACCACAATAAAAGCAAAAAAGCGTTTGCTCCTCCTCTACCAATGAAAAAAAAAAGAAAAAAAGGTGTTTTGTGCAATCCCTATTAAACTCAACAATGCCGTCAACTTCAACCCAAGTCGGCCACTACACAGTTTATTTAAGGTGGGCCTCTCCCTCCAGCTAAGCCACACATTAAACTTATTGAGCTTAGCCAGGATTGCACACGTACGGGAATTGAATCGAAAGAACGCAACACTGCTCAGTGCAAACCCTTAGCCAACTGAGCTATCACGCCACCATCGGCTGAACGCTGAACGGGTAGTTTGCAACTAAAAGCAAGCAGGTCACAACATCACTAACGCTCGTTGGTTTGATTTGACAAACTACTTGAGCACCAGTTGGTTAGCAGGACAACTGCTTTACTTTTGGTACTTTTGGTTTTTAGTGTTAAGTAGAGTTTGTTGCTAACTTTCTGGGAGTTAAACATGTGTACTCTATTGTTTAATACAATTGAATACTAGGGAAGGTCAGATAATTGAGACTTGATCGTGACTAACTTATTAACAGTTATGCCGTAAAGGAGATTGGTGATTAAAGTTTGTCATTGCCTTGACTGTTTTCTAAACACCAGGCCTACTGATGTACCGTAGCACAGTTGTAAGTAGGAACTCCTCTGGTAATGGTAGGCTACTTTTCCAGAGATTTGAACTTTTAAGTTCAAAAATAATATTCTAACAACCTTTTTTTCAGGAGCTGTTTGGCAAGTTGATTCACAATGAGTTACCAAATGCAGTCTCAAGGCCGTGCAAGTAAGTTAAGTTATTGTTCTGATGTGTAGAGTTAGTTTTATGTGCTAAATTTTTATTAATGTCGATTACAGTTTATTCTCATCAACTATCAGGGAATAATTAATATACTTATTACTACAATTTTATTAATAGTTACACATTTTGTAACGAGACTAGATATAGGTATGTAATGTAATTAGGTCTATCTATTAATAGAATACCAACTATCAGTACTAGTTGTTTAAATGACTGTTGTGTATTCCAGTGAATTACCAGGATGGTAACATGCCGAGTGTGAAAGAACAAACCCTGATGTGGCAGCAGAACTCCTACATGGGAGACTCTGGTATCCACAGTGGCGCCACTACACAAGCACCATCACTGACAGGCAAGGAGGACGATTTGGAGAATGATCAGCTCATGTTTGACCTTGACCAGGGCTTTACTCAGGGCTTCACCCAGGAACAAGTTGATGGTGAGTTCAGTGTTTGAAGTATAACTGGAAAATTATATTTGTAAAGAAGTCAGGTATGACTAAGTTAGTATTAGGCTTTGGCACCTGGTATCATTAGAAATCAGTGATTTTAGTCATTACCTGCGTCATCAGTGAGAGATTGCTACCAGATGTTTAGCTCTTACTTAGTCTCAGCCTAAAAAGTGAGTGAAACCGCTATACACAGAATAGACTTCCCATGTGATATGAAAGTTTGAAGCCAAGAAAATAGATGAAGTTCAGGACCATCTCACCAGAGTTTATTAGTGTACTGGGTTCAATATTAATTAAAACCAATGCAGTATCATAGCAAACAGCTGGTTGATTTATCACAACACAGAATATTGTCATTAGTTCGTGACAATTTCAACAGATTGCATAACATTTTTTTGCTTCAAATTTTTACATTACATGGGAAGTCTAAATGGTGAAACCTAGAGAGAGGGATGAAACGTTTGACAGAAATCTCGCAAACTAACTCTAGCTGACACTAAAAGTCACTCTGGAAGTAGGCTACATACTTTTAGTTTTAGGAATGCTATCAACCTCAGATATGAGGTGGACAGCAAATGAGATAGGCCTACCTTCAAAAACAAATTTAAGAGCGATCCAACATAAACCTGGTATGGTGTTTCTAATTATGGTTTAAGTACAAATCTAACTATTATTATCAAACCCCTTTTATGTGAAGGCCTGAAATAAAATAAATATATTCCCTTTTGGCAAATTTCTTTGTGTTTTAAACAATTTCTGGAAGTGATCTTTGATATGTTGCCTCCATTACGTGATTGTCTGTTGGTTGACAGAGATGAACCAGCAGCTTTCGCAAACTAGGTCTTCTCGTGTGAGAGCAGCCATGTTCCCTGAGACTCTGGAGGAAGGAATAGAGATCCCGTCAACCCAGCTGGACCAGGCCCAGCCTACAGCTGTGCAGCGTCTCTCAGAGCCAAGTCAAATGTTGAAACATGCTGTAGTCAACCTCATCAACTATCAGGTAAGAACTGGTAATATCTTTCATAAAACGACATGATGAAATTAAACCAAATTATAGCTACTAAGGATTTAACATAAAACACAAAGGCCTAGGTTTTGAATATCTTTGTGACAATAGTTTGTAGGCCTAGTTTAACCTGAATGGGAAAGCAAGTTTGAAAGAGCTCTCTCTCCGTCTCTGTCCAACTAAAACCTCGCTTGGTTGAAAATACTGTCTGTGACAATGAAATTTTCTAAATTTAGTGTTAAGTTAAGTGTTGTGTTTCTTGTGCCAGAGTATACTTTTTCCCAATCAGGTAAGCCTGCTGCTGCTATCCTCATAAACATTCTTAGTTGTTTACTAAGATGGTTGGATCGGTTTTCATGGTTCCAACAACAGACTTGCAGGGTCTAAAGAAAAAAAATAGTTGTGTTTAATTATTAATTTTTTTGCCAGAATAACGATAACCAAATGATAATTCCAATATGATTTCATTTTTTAAAATAATCCTAGGAATTATAAACTATTCTGGGGACTTCCATTTTACGTGTAAGCCTAGATCCCATTACTGGCACACAGGTTGACTGATATGACCATAAAAGTAATACAAACAGGAACCAGTCTGACATCCGTGATGTTGCATTGAAAGGTGTTGAGCAATAGAAGAGGGTTGAGAGTGTTGCAAATACTTCCCCCTTTGGTTGAAAGCAGTAGCCTTTAGGAAGTCTTGCTGTTCGTGTGATACATGGCAGATGAATCTGTGGTAAAAACATCTTTATTTAGTTTATTATGTTACTTAAAGTTAGATTCATACTTCATTTAAATGCAAGTTCTTATTTCCTAATAAAAATTTACAAAAAACGTAAAAATCTGGACCCATGAAAAGCTATTGAAAATATCTGGAGCATTTCAATGAAAAAATTATAACAATAATCTGGGAAAAATGTACAACAAAAAAATACCTATCTTATATACCGTGCCATAACAAGGTTTATTGTTTATTATATACTAGGTGAAACCCGTCGAAATTGACGGATATTTTCAAGGCTTACGCTAATTCATCTAACTGCGATAAGTTGAGTGAAATTATACATATTTTGAGCATTTAGCAATGTTTAAAGATTAATAAGTGTAACAAATTAGCTTATCAATGAATAAAATATTTCCCATACTGTACGTCATCGGAGTTGTTAGTATGCTATCTGGTATCTCTTCGTTTGGAAGAACCTTTAGATAGTATTAAAATCGTATTGGTGGATCTTTGTACTTAAACACTTCCGTGATTTCATCGGTGTAATGCAGATTAATCTATGATTTTATTTGAAAAAAAAAATCTGTTTGTTGGGAATACACGTTCTAACTTCAAAGAGAGGTATATCCGATACAGTGTAAGTTTGATTTTCCTTCGTCACGTCGCGTCAGTTCGTATTGTACTTCTAAGCCAATGAATAACCCTCTAGCATAGTTTTGAGAAATTGGTTGTGGGGTTACTGTTAAAGCTGTCCTTGACATGGGGGATGTCAGTTAGTTGTCTCAGCCTTATCAGTTACATAAAGTTGTCAATATAATCTCTCTATGGAATGTTAGGTGTAGTGGAATATACTTGAAGTGAAGTTGGCTTTTATTCTTGAACTTTAGGGGCCTCCTCATTTATATAGTTGTGCAGCTTCATTGGCAAAAAATAATACGAATGACATAGAGTAATGTGGCATTTCCAAAAAGCAAAAAATAATGTTAATTGGTTGTTACCTGTAATCGAAGTAACCTCTCTGAAAAGTCTGCAGTATATTGCAGTTTTCCAGCTTAATGACTTTCTAAATCATGCACATATTTCTAAATAAATATTGTTAAATGTTTTATCCAGTTGCTGTAAACCATTATTATTTTATTTAATATGGACACGGCTCAATTTGGCACCGTGCCCTTATGCACTTGTATTATTTTGTATTGTATTACACAATCAAAGATTTTTCCAGTGATTGAAAGCATGTACAGTATGACAATAATCTCATGAACCTATGATGATCCGTCTAGAAAAATATGATAAAATATAGGGAAAAGGTGTGAAAAATAGAAGATAGTTCAATAAGAAATAATTGTAAGAGTTAGTGTCATAAAAGGATTTTCCACTGATTTCGTAATGGAACTTTATATTGGAACACATGACATGATACAGAAGAAAATCAATTTTAAAATCAGAAAATAACATTGCAAATACTTCTTTTGGACTATTCAGTAACTCCCAATAAATGTGTGTTGTTTAAAATACAATTTTAAAATTAACAGCTGTTTTATTAAAAAGTATTATCCACATGACCAAAATTTAAACAAATCTGTGGAGGGATTTTTAAAGGCTTCTGGGGCAGAGCCCTGAGCGAATTTACTTCGTTTTTCTTTTGATAACTCATCTACAGACCAAGACCTTTCGTTGGACACCTCTACCAAGTTTCTTCGCCCAGCCGTTCTCTCAAATTAGTGGATACAAAGTTTCCAATTAAATATTTAGATTCCCCCCATGTTAATCTTATGGGAGAAAACTCAACTTTGATGGAAGATCCTGCCCAAACTAAAATAAAGATATCAAAAAACGAAAAACACTTTGCAAAACAGGGCAATTTTTTTGACACTTTAATCATCAAAATCGGTCTAAAAATGAGGGAGGAGTTCTGTTCACAAAAATCGGCTTAGCGTATTATATATATAGATAGTGGATGTTATAGCAGCTTTTAACAATTTTGACCGGAGAGTTTGTTTCATCTATGGCGATCCCTCTAACACCTCCCCCCCTTTACTTTGTTTCCCTCCCTTAAGTTGATTAGCTACTATTTCCTCTGTGAGGTTGTTGCTTATCTGTTGTGTCGATGGACAGGATGACGCTGACCTGGCCACCAGGGCCATCCCTGAGTTGATCAAGCTGCTGAATGATGAGGACCAGGTGGTGGTCAGTCAAGCAGCCATGATGGTGCATCAACTCAGCAAGAAGGAGGCATCACGTCACGCCATCATGAACAGTCCTCAGGTAGGCCTACTACATACCAGATCTCACACATATTATCTCATGTAAAACACAAAAATAGTCTTGACAAAGAAGTAGTGTCCCATTAAAACTTATTCTCCTTATTATATCTCCAAATATAAGTACAATTATTATGTATGAGATCTCTCAAATGAGCCACCAAATATCCAAATCCAAAGAGGAGTTCTGACGACAAAATCGTGCTTGCCTTTATATATATACTAGCAGAGTACCCGTCCTTCGTATGGGGTTGGCATATAAGTTTAAATTGCTTATTGCAGTTATACTCAAGCTTTGCGTTTGCAATGGGGGAAGACAAAGTTTGATAAAATTTGCTTCTTTAAATTGACGGTATACTATGGTATTACACGTCTACCATAGCCATAATGTTCTCCCTCTTCACCTAAACAATAAAGAAAAATATAGTTTTGCAAATTTAAAAAATCACAAATTATTCATGACATTAAAAACATAATCATAACTGTAAACAATCCTACTTTGACAGTTCTCATTGCGTATCACAGTTGTTTGTTGCTGCTTAGTTCAAATTAGCTGTTTACATAAATGCAAAAAAATATAGTGCTGCACCCTGTTGGTAAATCTTGTAAATTTTTAATGCTTTTGAATATCATAGAACCAACTTTTTTAGTTGAAACAACTAACTAAATTCTTTAATTCCTTTAAATATGAATACTCATAAGGTTAACATGGGGAACTACAGAGCCACTGGGGCGGAGCCCTAAGGGATTTTTGAGATAAGAATATGCCTATATGTTAATCGGGAATGTGAGCTATCACATGCCAAATTTCAGCCCAATCCATCCAGTGGTATATGCATGATTGACCTTCAAACACACAAACAAACAAACACACAAACCTTCACATTTATAATATTAGTAAGATAAGATATACGGTACTTGGGTACAATTATTGAGGTCAATCAATCATTCAAAATATTTTTATTCATATTGCACATAATGTCAGTTATTGTTATAACTAAAACAACTTGAATAAAACCTAAGACTACTTTAATATAATAAAAATATAATAAAATATATTTAAAATAAAAGGTTCTTGTTAAATTTAACTACAGTAGTTTAAACTAAGTACAGAAAAAGAAATATGATTTACTATCTTTGGTACTTTCGTATTATACACCTAGTCCAATAATTGTACAGCGTGCTGCTGCGGTTACGTTAGTTTGGGTTATCAAAAATATGTTTGTACGTTGTTGGATTTTCCTTGTTTTGTTATGAATTGAACGATACCAGATGGTGTATAAAAAATTGATGATAACTCAACCTAACCTAACCGCAACAGCACGCTGTAGAAGGGTGGCCTCCGTATAATACAAAAGTACCCTAAATTTTATAAGAGTATTCATTGAAATAGGATGGATTTAAAGAATAAAAGATATTGTTTTAAGAAGATATCTAAGCTATGAAATAGAATATAAAATTAGGAGGTAAAGACTAAAGGTTAGGTTATTAGGTGAAGGTAAAGGAGTCACAAGACGTAATTAAGGTAAATTTACATATTATTTATGTGTTAAGTGACTCAAGATTACAAAAAAATGAAAAGTATAAAATTGTCTGTAGTTTTTTTATAAAGATTGGTGTAAAAGTAAGAGAATATATTTAAAAATGTGGATTTCCTAAAACAAATAGGCTAACTGATCATTGTTGTCTCAAATCTCTAATGCTTTGTTGTTTTTTTCTTGCCTTAAATTTGTGACTACAGCAAGCTGTAAGTATTTTCTCTGTTATGTATGATAGGCTAATGATATATTTATAAAATGTCATTCAAGATTTCAGCAAAAGTAAAAGTGTAGGCCTAGCTAGAGTCATGTTAAGTAAAAAGAAGGTTGATTTTGAGTTTGATTGACAAGGCTAATTTCCTCTATCAATCCAAAATCTTGTTGAATAGAATACCTATGTTGTTTTTTGTGTAAGATAACAAGCAACTTGTACTTGTAGGGACCGCAGGGTTAAAAAAGGTAATGTGATAATATTAATTTCAAGGCCAAGTTATAAGTATAGATTGTGTGTAAACATGTTGGTAAGTATTTTATCTTATCATGATGTACCCTGTTGGTAAATGATATTTCATCATGATTTATTTTAGAAAACTATCCTCCATTTTTAGCCCCCTCCCCCTTGAAGAAGGTCTATTTATGCCACTGTCTACCCCTACCATAGTCTAAATTAGTGATGGTCAAATCCAAGAATTTCAAATCTCGAATCCGAATCTGAATCCTAAAAAAAATCTAATCTATATTACAACGTCAATAACGTCTATGGTTAGGCAATGTCACAGTATTGTCTATTACGACGTAAATAACCTCTATGGTTAGTCAATGTCACAGTACTGTATATTATGACGTCAATAACCTTTATGGGCATCTTTTCTTAGGATTCGGTAGATTCGGATTCGACACATCACTATCGACTTCCACAATCACCGAATCATGATCATTATCCCCCGCAATCACTGGCAAACAATCATTGTGCAAAACCAATGATTTTTTTTTTCTTTCTAAAAAATTGGTGAAACCAACAATTGACTTGAAACCGACACATCCTAAGTGCAAAGTATCTGTGCTTAAATTACTTACTTTTGCCCTGTTTCTGATCTGTGCTTGTTTTTTAGATGGTGGCCGCTCTTGTGAGAGCCATCTCCAACAGCAATGACCTGGAGACTACCAAGGGAGCTGTAGGTACTCTGCACAACCTGTCACATCACAGACAGGGTCTGCTGGCTATCTTCAAGAGTGGTGGCATACCTGCGTTGGTCAAACTGCTCAGGTAATCCAACACCTGCTAAGGTGCGTTTAATGCCAACTATTTCCTAGACTCCTAGAGTTTGATTTGTACAAATATTACACTCCCAAGCTACAGTTTTCGTACGTATTATAACTTTAATCTGTACAAAAACAAAAGCAAACAATCTAATACCATTACTCCGCTCACAAAATTTAGACGGTTTGAGGGGAAGTTCCCTCACTACTTTTTTTGCTAGTACATATGTCGCAGCTGATTAGCTGATTGACGTTGTGGCAAACCTTAGCTGTTGATCTATTGTTTTAAATTTAGGATCAAGTGGAGGGGATGGATTTCTTCCCCTAAAACTGCCTAAATTTAGTGAATGGAGTATAGTTAAGATTACTAAACTGATTCATATTTATTGTATATTACAGTTCACCTGTGGAGTCGGTGCTATTCTATGCCATCACCACCCTACACAACCTGCTGTTGCACCAGGAGGGCTCCAAGATGGCGGTGCGGCTTGCTGGAGGACTACAGAAGATGGTTGCTCTCCTGCAACGCAACAACGTCAAATTTCTCGCCATTGTAACTGACTGTCTACAGATTCTGGCGTATGGCAACCAGGAGAGCAAACTGATCATCCTGGCCAGCCAGGGGCCTGTGGAGTTGGTCAGGATCATGCGCAGCTATGACTACGAGAAGCTCTTGTGGACCACCTCCAGGGTACTCAAAGGTAAAAGGCTACACTAGTCTATTAGAGATTCTCATTTGCTATAGTGTAATATTAATCACAGTTTTTTTAACGATTCCTCAACCATTCAATTTTGTTTTGTAGCAAGACTCATTATCGTACACAAATTGCAGGACAGTAGCTAACATGCCAACTTGCATTGCTCAGTATGAAGCTAACTTTTGTACAGGGTAATTTTTGTACTAGCAGCACTTTGTTTCAGTCCTATGCATAACTGGGCTTTTTAACATATTTTTTTTATACATAAATACTTGTTTGGCCTTTTGCTCAAACAGTCCCTTGAATTTTGTTGTAGCCTACTGAGGACATATCAGCAACTGTAGAGTGTTACTACTTGTTTAGTAGATCTAAGTTTGCAAACACTAGAAAGGGAAAAGATGTTCATGCTATACCGTTGCTCATCTGTTGCATAGAACATAATTTAATTATTTCCTATTCCTAGCATTCATCCTTACTCAGCATATGTTCCGTCTCCTGGCTCTGTCCCACCATTACACAACTGCAGCAAATGAGTTAGCCTAGTTCTACTATTTTTCAAAATTACCTCTTCTACAGAATACTAACCGATGTTATGGGTTTGGGTTGCAGTGCTGTCGGTGTGCTCAAGCAACAAGCCAGCTATAGTGGAGGCAGGGGGTATGCAGGCATTGGCCATGCACCTCGGTCACCCCAGCCAGCGACTAGTACAGAACTGTCTGTGGACCCTGCGTAACCTCTCCGACGCTGGAACTAAGGTGGATGGTTTGGAAGGTCTGCTACAGTCCTTGGTGCAGCTCTTGGCCTCAACTGATCTCAACGTTGTTACCTGTGCAGCTGGTATACTCAGTAACTTGACCTGCAACAACCAACGCAACAAGGTGACAGTGTGCCAGGTGGGCGGAGTGGACGCTCTGGTCAGGACCATTGTCACTGCTGGCGACCGTGAGGAGATCACCGAGCCTGCGGTCAGTATGCCCACCATACATGCCATTGTTGTTTCTCAAACTACCGGTACTTCTTAACTGTTTTAACTTTGTTTACATATAAAGAATATTTATTTATTTTTTTTATTTGATCGTTAGTATTTCAGATATGAAATAATAAGAATCTTATGTTAGTGGCAGACTGTCAAAAGTATGGAATAAAACGATGTTTGTTGATTGCAATTACATCGCCTATTCCCATTTTCACATCCTATTACTCTAGGCTCTAGCACAGAACTGTTTTTACACATTACTTAAGGCCCTGTTTCATAAAGATACTAGTCTAGTAATTACTAGTCTAGTAAATACTAGTCCCGTATTTACCTGTCCTACTAATTTGTGTTTCATAAACGTTTTTATACCGCTAGTAAATACTAGTGTATTTTACTAGTCACGTGACCAAAACTACTAGTCACGTGACCAACTTTACAAGGTAAACTTTCAAAACAAATTTCTAACCTCAATCACGGGTTTTCAAACCCTTTATAAAGGGTTTTAATTTTGTTTTCATTTGATACAAAAAGTAAATAGTTGTAGAAACGCAGTGTTTTCTTTTAATTAATAACTATATAGACACATAGGTAAAACAATCACACATTATTTATCAAACCGCTATTATTTATGTTCATCAATGAGCCCGCCGGCGCGGCGTCGCGTCGCTGCAATCAACACGGTGATTGTATGCCTAGTTGCGGCGCTCAACTGTTGGGTGGAAGTTGATCTGTGTCTGCCGCATTCGCTTTGATTTGTATAGTTTTTGTTTTATTCTGACATATAAAATTAAGCTTGCTATGAGTAAAGAAAAGAAGGCTCAAATTTTTAATGTAATTAAATCGTCTAAGGACATTTTGTTAGGAACATTTTCAAGTACCCTATGTTTACCTATGTTTTCAAATATTCGAATGCATAAGAATATTCGGGTTAGAAATCATTCTGTGATATTCTAATTTTGAGTCTATAAACCATGAATAATAAGCCTAAACGTTTATTGATGTAACAAATAATTAATTGCAACGCCGTTACAAGCAATGGAGTAGTTAGGTTTTCAAGTATATTAAAACATGACATAAATGCAGTCGCTACGGCAGGGCCTAGCTCAGAGGTAGAGTTTTCGCTTCTCATGTGGTGGGTCCCTGGTTCAAATCCGCACCACACCACTCACTATACTTTAGTTCCATTAATTAAACTTTTACATGTTTTACATGTAAATAACAGCTCTAATCAACATCTAATTTTTTAATTACTTTGAATAACAAATTCAGAATACCAAAATGGATTAAAAGTAATGTTTTTATGATAAGCAGTTCAGTCCAACGCCCAAAAACCAAATATAGGCCTACAAAATTGTTAGTACATCACAGGGTTTTAGCTATTTAGGGAAACAAATAATAAGCACCTCAAAAAAAAAAAAAAAAAAAAAAACAATGCAACTCCTCTTTAAAATTGTCTTACTATTATTTCCTGTTAAAATGTCTTTAAATAAAACCGAGAGCCTTGGGTGTAAAATAATCTGATTAATGTTGCAATGTTGGATACATTTTTGTACATCTTTGTATGCAATACGGTATGCGGTTTTAATTTGGTTTCTCTCAAGCTCAAAGCTTAAAAATCTTTTCTCTGTGATAGCTAAATAGTTGATATAACCATGAAATTTGACTCAAGTAAAATTAGACTAAAATTTCACAGAAATTGATAACTTATAATTATAATTAATTCTAATAGGGCGATTGTACATACATTATAAAATTCAATTTCACTCTTTTTGTACTACGCCACATTTATTGATTGTAATTTATATCTAATAATAATTATCATTTTAGCACTCATAGATCAATTTTTATCTTAAATTGCAAACGTGAGCCAATTCGCACTTGCAAAAAGAACTTAATAATTCTTTTTTTTAAATGATGTGAGTAATGAAATAACTCTCTTTCCAAAAATACTAGTCTACTTCAAATAATACGGATGTAGAGAGGTTGTTAGAAAATGGCAAGTATTTACCAGTGTAATTTACAAGAGTAAAACTTTATGAAACACATTGCTGTCTACACTAGTAAAAACCACTAGTAATACTAGTCCCTACACTAGTAACAAGTATTTTACACTAGTAGGTTTTTGAAACGTAGACTTCTAAAATACACTAGTATTACTAGTCCATGGACTAGTAAATACTAGACTAGTAGTTTTATGAAACAGGGCCCAGGTGAGGCCTAGAGGGTCGCGGCATTATGACGTAGTTAAAGGCACCATTGGTGGTTGTGGGTTTTGAGCCTAGGGCCTCGGTTCTACCACTAGACCAGCTCGCTTCTGAAGATCTTCTTTTAATGTAAAACCACCAGCAGACTTTAGTGGTGCAGGCTTAAAATATGATAAAATAATAAAATTTCATGACCCATTACAAACATGTTTTATGATTAATCAATCTACATCTAAATAATTGTGTCCTTCCTTATAGCATTGAAATCAAATTGAAAATAAAATTGATGTAAGTAGCTAGCCACTAGCCTATATATGTAGGCCTAGGCCTTAATGTTTTTGAAAAAAAAAAATTAACTTAAATGTAAAAGTTTTATTTAAGATCTTCTTTTATTCTGACTCTATATCAGCAATTCATTTGTTTTTTGTCCTCAGGTATGTGCTCTGAGACATCTGACGTCTCGTCATGTAGAGAGTGAAATGGCACAGAATGCTGTACGTCTTAACTATGGCATGCAGGTATAACTAATTTATTGAATAATTGTTTTTAACATACCAATAAACCCTTTAAGAGATTTTGTGTGAATTATGAAATACATATTTTTTAACTTCACATTAAATTCATAATCAACAATGTTTTATACCAGTTGAGTTGTTATCTGCTTACAAGATATTTGTCTGTGCAAAGAAGTTCTTTTAAGCTATTAGCGAATTCTCTTCCCACAGAAATCAGGAAAATGTCAATCCTTCTATTTAAAATGTCTTAGTGGTAAGGAACTAACGGGTGAAGTGTCTAAACTTGTTTTGCTTGAAGGTGATTGTGAAGCTGCTCCACCCTCCATCACGCTGGCCACTAGTCAAGGCTGTGATAGGTCTGATCCGCAACCTAGCTCTGTGTCAGGCCAATCACGCACCTCTACGAGAGAATGGAGCTATACATCATTTGGTCAGACTGCTCATGCGGGCCTTCCAGGATACCCAGAGAGTAAGTGGAATACACAACATCAATATACTTATCCTTTTTGCAAAATCACCATTTACAGTTTTTAAGTTCATTATAAGATATTGTATGAAGATACGTAAGTATTGTAAACTAGTAGCATAATTTATTGTAGGACTACCTTTGACTGCCCAAATGTGATGAGTAGTACGAGAATAAGTTCACCAATAACGAGAGCAATTCAAAACTAACGCTGTGGTATGCTGACCTTCAGTCTTGTGATATTGTATTGACACTTTGCCTCACATAAGGTGTGCAGGGAAAGTTCAATTGGGACGTATCCCATCATTCACCCCCCCCCCCCCCTATATTCAGACCCTATATGAATAAATAATAAAAATTTATTTAGCCTTTCAGAACAACTTGGTCACTATATTAAAAAACTATCCTATGCTACTATTTAGCTGTTATCACTTAGAATATCCTTAAAATTTTTTTTAAACATCTCTCTAAGTACATATTTTCTTAATGTATTGCTAGATGCAAGAAACTTAAGTCCGGGTAGACTACAATGAGGGTCCAAAGTAGGGATGGACGGGATTGAATTTTTAGTTCGGGACGGGACGGGACGGGATTTTCATTTCCTTCCCGATTTTCGGGACGGGACGGGACGGGATTTTTTCTGTGCATAAAAAGAGTATTGCAGTTACCAAAAAAAGACATACAAAATCAATTTTTACCGTTTGTGGTACTGATCTATAAAAACCAAAAAAATGGGTAACAATATATCAGGTACCTATAGAAACTTGTGACTCACGGTCACGGTGCGATCGTCAAAATGACCGCGGTCACGGGGTGATCGTCGGTATGACTCGCGGTCACGGGATGATCGTGGGTATGACTCGCGGTCACGGCATGATCGTCAGTATGACTCACGGTCACGGCACGATCGTCGGCATGACTCCGCGGTCACGGCGCGATCGTCGGTAGGACTCCACGGTCACGTCGTGATCGTCGGTATGACTCCGCGATCACGGGGTGATCGCCGGTATGCCTCGTGGTCACGGCATGACTCCGCGGTCACGGCGCGATCGTCGGCATGACTCCGCGGTCACGGCACGATCGTCTGCATGACTCCGCGTTCATGGCGCCATCGTCGGTAGGACTCCGCGGTCACGGCGTGATCGTCGGTAGGACTCCGCGGTCATGGCGCCATCGTCTGCATGACTCCGCGTTCATGGCGCCATCGTCGGTAGGACTCCGCGGTCACGGCGCGATCGTCGGTAGGACTCCGCCGTCACGGGGTGATCGCCGGTATGACTCGCGGTCACGGCATGATCGTTGTCATGACTCCGCGGTCACGGCGTGATCGTCGGTATGACTCCGCGGTCACGGCGCAATCGTCGGTAGGACTCCGCGGTCACGGGATGATCGTCGGTATGACTCGCGGTCACGGCATGATCGTCAGTATGACTCACGGTCACGGCACGATCGTCGGCATGACTCCGCGGTCACGGCGCGATCGTCGGTAGGACTCCACGGTCACGTCGTGATCGTCGGTATGACTCCGCGGTCACGGGGTGATCGCCGGTATGCCTCGTGGTCACGGCATGACTCCGCGGTCACGGCGCGATCGTCGGCATGACTCCGCGGTCACGGCACGATCGTCTGCATGACTCCGCGTTCATGGCGCCATCGTCGGTAGGACTCCGCGGTCACGGCGCGATCGTCGGTAGGACTCCGCGGTCACGGCGCGATCGTCGGTATGACTCGCGGTCACGGCGCGATCGTCGGTAGGACTCCGCGGTCACGGCGTGATCGTCGAAATGAGTTCGTCTCCTACGTTCGCGGACCTATCGCTCGCAATAGCGGCGTCATCGGCACTCGCGAAGCGGCAAAATCGCCGACGATCGGACCAAATCCCGTCCCGAAAAATTCCCGAATCAAATGTAATCCCGTCCCGATAATCGGGAATATTTTTTTCCCGAAAAATTCCCGAAATTTCGGGACCCGTCCATTCTTAGTCCAAAGTATGAAAAGCTTTTCCTCCCAACCTCTAACCCCACAATAACGTGTCCTGCGCTGGGAAACCTCATTGTTCAGAGAAGGCCTCTCGCGTAAATAGCCTAGTCGGGCTTAGAAAGGGACAAAACTCTCTGGGTCATGCAGCACTACATACCAGTTTAGCTCCTAGCGGCATATATATTCTTGTAAGCGAGATTTTGACTGCGATCTTAGAAGCTCTGTGACAATGAAGAATTGAAGGATGCATCCCAGGCTAGCTCAAGACTCAGGACACAGATTTTTATAAAGACAGTCTTTCGAAGCTTGTTAAAAAACACCACAAGTGCCTAGAAGTAAATTTTTTTTTAGTAGATAAAATAAAAATGTAGTTTTGGGATGTATTTAGTGAATGGTTTTTATTTACATCCTTGTTATTTATACAGCTGACCCGAAGTTACCTACTTTCCAAATGGCCCTCATACGCAATTTTTAATTAACACTTTATTACACTCTGAGCCACCATTCTCCAACCCCACCAGAGTATTTATGAATAATATTTGGCTCATATTGCACATCTGTTGTTTCAGCAAAGGTCGAGTGTGGCGTCGAGTGGCAGTCAGGCGCCGAGTGCGTACGCGGATGGAGTGAGGATGGAAGAGATAGTGGAGGGCACAGTCGGCGCTCTACATATACTGGCGCGAGAGAGCCACAATCGAGCACTAATACGCCAGCAGATGGTCATTCCAATATTCGTACAGTTGCTGTTTAATGAGATTGAAAATATACAGGTTGGTTCAGTCACAGAGAATTAAGAAACAGAGGATAAATTCAATGGTATCTAGCACCAGTTTCTAGTGTCAAGAGCCAATTCTATTCCCCTTCCGCTCTCTCCTTTCACCCCTCGCCATCCCTTACTGCAGTGATCATGCTGTAGGAAGACTCTGTGTGCTACAACTGCTGTACAACTATGCATGTGGCCATCGCCGTTCGGCCTCTTCCTTGCTCGGAACAAGTACATATCGCCCCAACATACCAGAGCTAAAAGTGCACAGTTGTCCCATAAGCTTGTATCCTCTGTATCTTACTTCTCTGTAGTTTAGTACTGTATTCTCATTACTGAAGACATAGATAATGGTCAAAATAAGCCCTGATTGACTGAACTTCATCGTCAACAATCCTTTAGTGTATCTCGTTCCTTTCATTCATTGTTTATGTCAGTTAAACTTGGTTGAGATGGTTACCTCGACTGCTCCACATGCTCTGTTTCATTTATTTTTATAGGGATTTTTACATAAAGTGTTTAAATGTGGTGTTTGTGTTTGATATACATCATGTTAATTCTTTTTATCATGTAGGATGTATAACTAAATGTGTCTTTATGCTCAGAGAGTTGCTGCTGGAGTGTTGTGTGAACTGGCTCAAGACAAAGAAGGTGCAGAGATGATAGAACAAGAAGGAGCCACAGCACCACTCACAGAACTACTCCATTCAAGAAATGAGGGTGTTGGTACGTGTCAATGATTTACTTTCATGGATATACCTACAGACATCTATACTTACTGCGATCACGAATTATACTTAAACTCTTTTCGACCTTACTTGAGCTTGGTCCAAAAATGATTTCTGGCCTGAACTAACTCCTCAGCCCTAACTGTTGGCCTTCCCTGATCCGAAATCTCAGGCATTTGCAGACCCCATGTAAAATCAATTCAGCTTATGATGACCAAAGGCGAATTTAATTGCTGAGCTCCTCATTAAATTTGAGTTGAGCTTGCAAAATGAAATTGAACTTAATGTCTGAAGCGTATTCTACATTTTTTGGTCTGTACCAATTCGATCTGAATAACTGTGAGTGCATTAAGTTGTTTTTGGTGCTTTTAATTACGTGTACCTTATTACAAAAGGTGCTTTTGTCTTTTAGGTATCATTAAAAAATCAATATGGTAAAGTACAGACACCAATGTCATACCATAATACCCCCGCCGCAGAAAACCTGCAGACTAAGTGAATTTCCATTTGCCTGATTGGACTTACTCTAAAATATCTCCTGAAAAATATCACAAGAAAACAAAAATAAACAAGAAACTTTGACTTAAGAGGGCAAATCTACTAAATTGTGAGGTACGTTCGGAATGTAAGTTTCGTTCCCCCCACTCTCCAGGGTAGCACTGCAATCGCACTAGTTAAGTGCAAGCATGGTATTACTCTGTGTCAACCGGAAGGAAATGACACCATTTTGAATTTGCTATTTTTGTCTTACACTTCGTAGCGCTCGTTCGTAATGGCTGCGTTAATTGAGAATCCCACCGATTGTGAAATTCGATCGTTATAGTTTTATCCGTGTAGTTATAGAGCACTACTTTTCATTGCTGTTGCATGGCTCTACCCTAAAGACCTGTTTGTGATGTTTACAGCCACATATGCTGCAGCTGTGCTGTTCCGCATGTCTGAAGACAAGCCCCAAGATTACAAGAAGCGACTGTCCATGGAGTTGACCAACTCTCTGTTCCGAGAGGACCAGAACCTCTGGGCCGGAGGAGACTTGGGCATGGGTCCTGACTTGCAGGTCTGCTTACAATCTCTTTACAAAGTTTGCTTTTTATCATTTTCATTCTTCATTTTTCAAAGTTTTGTTACAGAAGTATTTTATAGTAGTTTTTTATTTAGTATGTTTAATTTAAATATTTGTGCCATTTTATTGCTTAGAAAACAACTTTTTTTCAATTTTTACCTAAATAAATAAATTGTTTAATGAAAAGTGTTCTAACCAACTTGCTCCTATTATAAATTTAACAAAAAGGATAGATGCTTTAATGTCTAAAAATTGTGTATTAATTTACATAATTTTAAAATTCAATCTAAAGTTAATGTTATTAATGTAATCATCAATTGAGAGACATCTATCCTAGGAGAATGCAGATTGTCCCAAAACCAACAAACCATTTTCCCCCATGAAAACTACTTGAACCTTATGTTGTTTATTAAAAAAGTAAAAAGTTATAAAAAATGCCTTTAGATACTTTTTAAAAGTTATAACTTTTGTTTTTATTTACTGATTTTGTTCAGTACATCAATGTGTACATTATTGTGTAATAAGTGTTATTTTATTTTCTATGTGAATGACCATATTTTTAGTTTTAGTTTCAGCACTAGTTTTACATTATTCTGCTTCGCTCAAGTACTTGTGCAATCAATGTTAGTGGCATGTCATCACTTAGACTATTACTTCACTATGTATATATGCACACACAAGTGCAAGGTCACTGGGGTTCAAGTATGCAAAATTGTAGCAAACAAAAACTGGCATTGCAGATATTCTGTAACATCTCCATTGCAGTTGATCATTCTAAAACATAACAGTTTTTTGAATAATTTTTCCAGAAAAATCTAGACTATTTTTCTCAATGGCAAACATTTGTTAGAGTTTATTTTAGTGGCCTTCTTGCATTAAATTTCTTGAAAGTTTTACAAAAAGCTATCACAACAGCTTATTACGATAACTGCTGGTCCCTAAGTAATTTAATGACTGCATTTGATTTTATTAGAGAGTGTAACAATCAAATTAACTAATATTACTTTATAAGTTTATACACTGCTATTTATGACAACAACATTAAATATTTAAATAATTTGATTTGATTTGATGCACACTTAGTGCTAGCAAGTGTCATTTATAAGATAGGCTATTTTAAATTGGAAGATCAAGTTAATTAAAAGTAAAATAAAATATTGCATAAATTATCATCAGTGTTAGTTTGTTTGTTTAGACACTTGAATTATTAATAAAAGTAAATTATGTAGATCTGAACAAATTTACAGTAAATTTTACATTTATTATTATAATTGTAAGAAATAAATTTGATAATATCAGGTTTTGGATTATTCCTTCCACCTGGAGATTACAGTAGCAAAAGTCAGTCTGATGGTTATGTTTATAGGCTAATTGGCAAGAAACACTTCTGTTCAAACTCTCAGACTTCACCGTCTTATTGACAGTGAACCTACGTTTAAAAATGCATTCATTATTAAAAGGCAATGTTGCGAGGTTGCACAAGTACAGGTGGTGCGCACGTAGCATCTACATAGGTAGTGTAGACTGTAGGTGTGTTTCTAGGACATGCTAGGGCCAGACCAGGGGTATGATGGGCTGTATACGACCGGCCCCCCCAGCGTGCACAGTAGTCACGGCGGTCGCAACTACGCACAATCAGGTAGGCTACCCACCCCCCTACACACTCACTGCACAAAACGAGAACAAAATCTCCTAGAAATCCACTTCAAAATTTCATTATTCAACACGGCTACAGATGCATTAAACATCAGCTCTTTTTCCTAGTTAAAGTTTTTAAACGTTATTTGAATAATGAGAAAACTTTGTCTAATTATCTGGATGTTCAGGAGTTAAATAAAAGTATTTATGTAAGATGTAGATCAGTGATCACGAATCTGCCCTCAATACCAATGCTTATGTTTGTTCCAATTAGGTAATAATTAAATTTGAGGTAATATCGTGATCAGTTCGCGGCCACGAAAACGTCATTGTCATCTTTCCCGATCACTGCAACTTTCTGATGTGTGATCTTCGCAGACGATTCGGGTATCAGTATCAGAATCAACTTTTGACGATCGATTCTCTATACCAATACCAACGTCCAAGTATCGGTGGTATCGAGAATCGACAGTCTTTATTTAAAACGCTGCTTCATAGTTAACTTTTTAATTTTAATAAATTGATCCCATCTAAACTCTTAACTAAATTGATATCTTTTACTAGCTTAGCGGGGTGTATACAGGGCCAGGGAACAAAAATAAATGAAGACCAATTTGTGTGATAAAATATGTCAATTTCAGGACTTCTCAATAAATAAACCCTTTTAAAACCATGGAGTTTACTTAACATTTAACTAAAATAAAAATTATCTAAATCAGAATGGACCAGGCCTATACAATGTATCAATGTATCTCTTAATAATTTTGTTTTCAAATTCAGTTACTTAACTTTTGAAAATATGTTGGTATGAGAATCTAGAATTCATCCATAAAAAGATTAAAACACTTATTTCTCAATGTGCAGTGAGTGGTACAAGGTTAATATGTTATAACATGCTAGGTTAGAAGCTAACTAACCCACTGCTAATGTAATTACACTTCATACTGTACTTTTAATAACTAACCATAATATAGATATTCTTGTAATTAGATTTGGACTTAACATATTATCTGTAATTTAATCCTTACATGTATAAAAAAATTACTTATGAGAAAAAGATAGACTAAATAAAATTTACAATCTCAGAAATATTAGGCTACTTGTTGATATGACTGTTAGCCATCTTTACCAGATAAAAGACAATGAGAAATCTTATTACATGCTAATTCTTTTGTAGAACTTTTTTTTTACAAAAATGTTTTGGCTTTATCATTAATAATACATTTGTCTACAAAAATCTAAAGATTTCTTGTATGTATTGCAAGTTAAATGGTTTTCTATAAATAAATGTGCGGTACAAAACACCTAATTATTTGTGGACAAATTAAAATCTACATCTGAAAGTGAAGGTAGGGTAATGACTAGATGTTTTGTTTCAAAGGCGGGTTCTGATCCAACGGAAAGTCAATTTGAACTCAGGTAAAATAACACTTGCTCGCTTGGCTTTTTTGTGTATGTTGCATGGTTTTACTATCGATTTTGTTTTATGTGTACATGTATGTATGATATGTTTTGGTGTAGCCTATTTATTTACAATTATTGTTTGTATATGTATGTGTGTTAATAGAACCCATTAGAAATGATTAATTATGAAAAGGTAGGTTCTGCACATACATGTCTTATTTCACCGAAATTGTATAAGTTACTTCATTATTGTATACCTACCTAATAAAATACTAAGGAATGGTTCTTTTTTGTTTCATGAAATGTTAATAACACAAAAAAATTAACATTTATTTAATGAATTCCTAAGTTAAATTGTTTGATGAAATCATAATTTGTTTTGTTATGAGAGCTACACATTTTCAGGGCAATGTTTTAATTCAAATTTTGATAGAACATGTTTTAAAAGATTTTGCTGCAGCAGCAGCAGTAGCTCAACCAGTTTTGTGTAATCCCTCCAAGACTGGCTAGTTGCTATTTTATATCTTTGACTGTGGATAGTACTAGAAATACCGTTCCCATGAGAAAGTTGTTGCAGTTTTGGATTTGAAAATGGAGGCAATTTAATTGAGCTACTAACAGACTGTTTTGATTTAAACTACCACGCCAACTTATTAAGCCAAGCTTAACTAAAAGAACAACTTTACATATTTGTCAGCTAGACTGTTAGACTGTAGTGTCTGTAACAGTGTGTGGTTGTTGTACAGGTTATGACCAGGTACTCCTAGACTCAATGCAGGGAGTTGACCTCGGCTCACAACACTCGGACTACGGACCTATGGACGTGAGCAGTGACCCTCTCCCCCCACCCCCTCCAGACAGTCAGGTGGCGGCCGCCTGGTACGACACGGACCTGTAGCACCTACCACCTACAACCTACAACCTACCATCTGGTGTCCATTGGCCCAATGAGCATCCACTAAAATAAAATAAAACCTATGTATACGTAACTTTTCACTAGTTATATGAGGCTCTATGATTCATATCTTAATATTTGTTGAATTTTGATCCAACTAACTTATTTAACGGTTTTCATACCAAAGGCATTGCCCAAAGCATATAATGCTGTCTAGCCATGTAACATTGTATTCAAAACTTGAGTCCGCGTGATGTAGTTTGGTGTATACAGTACAAACATCAGGCGGTAGGAGGGTAGCAAATCTTCCTACATGAAATGTTAACTTGTGTCAATTACCACAATAGAGCTGTAATACAAAGATAGAACTGTTGTTTTGTGGCCAGTGGACACCTTGGTAAAGTCTTGCTTTATTGTGTTAGGCAGTTAACAATTGAGTCAACAATAAAATTAGTTTTATTCCTAAGTAAATTAATTTTAAAAAGAGATCTCAAGAGTTTATGGTGCTAAGGTTAAATAAACATTAGTGCTCCATTCGTAATGATCAGTCAATTTCTGTAGCTTAAAATCAACCGTGTTAATAATAATTTATTATAGTATAATTAAAACAAGTGCATCACCTTTAATTCATTTCTTATTAGCCTTGAAGTAGTTTTATTTATTTATATTGTCATCGCAAGACCTTGAAAAAAACTTCACTCAGATTTATTTTGTAATAAATTATCTTTAGTGGATAAAAGTTTTAACACTTATTAACTAAGCACAAAAAACAACTTTTAAAAGTCTGGTACTTAATCAATCATTCCATAGACAACTTGTTTCTAATATTTTTTAATTTTATACTAATCTAAAACCTCATATAAAATCCTGTTTTAAAAATATATGTTTTGAAATAATAATTTTTACTGTTGTCAAAGTTTATAACACTCGTGTTTATACTTTAATCAGAAAAGTAATTTACTTATATATATTGTTTCTACTAGTATTATTAGTTAATTACATGGTTAAGTTCCCTTTGGTGCCAGAATTAGGCATTTTTATGTTTAGATAGTTTATTTAAGTGGACCTTTGAACTGTCTGAATGTGTGCTAGTTACATGTAAAGAACATTAGCCTACACTGTTCAGATAACAATCTTGTTGTATTGTGTCTAGGTTAGAATCCCGCTCACAGGGTCACTATTACATTTGTTTTTAAGTACAATTTAAATTACTATGCATTGAATAAGTAAATGTGTTTATTTTATATCATTGTAACATGAATAAAGAATTTTAAAATCAATTAGTATGTATTATCTTTTAGTTCCTTTAACTTAACTTTCTGAAAGCCATTGGTTATTCTTAAAAAAACTATAGGGTGAGTGCACCAGTGAATGACCACCCCCCAGTGAATGACCGATTTGTATAAAAAACATCATATCAGGCTTTCTGTTTTTCCTAGTCTATCACAATCAGTTTTAAAAGTAACTTTGAGGTCTTATTAATATACACTCTGTGACTGATTAAAAAAGAAAGTGTCAATCATCCTTTTGTAACATAAACAAAATTAGATATTTCAAAGCAATTCATTGTTATGCTTCCCACTATGGTGTCTCGCACAAACATGGTTGGTTGTAATTTGTCATGGTTCCTTAATTATTGATTGGAACTGTAATATATTACATGTAATTCACAGTTAACATGTTAAGGTATAATTCTGTACTCATTTTAAGATCAAAATCCTAACCAATCGTATATTTAAACAGCCGGTCAATTACTGGTTCACAAATTAGGGTATAACCAGTGATTGACTGTTTCGTTCATTAACTGGATTTGAGTCAATTTTCTTTATTGATATTGATGACAATGTTTTCTGATGGAGTAAGCGATTGCTAGGAAACACAAAATCTCATCAGAAATTATGTGGATACACTACAACCAAAGTTTGAATGCGAGTTAAATCTTGCAGTCATTTCCTAGATAAAAAGTTATCCATCACTAGAACCAATATTTTAACAACCAGATATCGTTATTTTTCACTACAGGCAGGGTGTCTAGTAGTCGGGAATTAGTATTGAATTTAAAAATGGTCTTGAAAAGTCGGGATTTAGGCTTAAATTTGACTTCAAAGTCGGGAATTTTCATGATTTTGCTGCGATCGCCGTCTTGCGTTTACGTAACCGCGAAAGCCAATGATGATGATGTCTACACGGCCGCGGGAAATGTTCATGATTTTGCCGCGATCGCGGACGACGACGATGACGTTTCCATGACCGCGGGAGACAACGATGACGTTTCCGTGGCCGTGGAAGACGACGATGACGTTTCCGTGACCGTGGGAGTCAATGATGATGTCTACACGGCCGCAAGAAGTTTTCATTATTTTGTCGCTATCGCGAATTACGGTGATGACGTTTCCGTGACCGCGGGAGACGACGATGATGTCTACACGGCCGCAAGAAGTTTTCATTATTTTGTCGCTATCGCGAATTACGGTGATGACGTTTCCGTGACCGCGGGAGACGACGATTACGTTTCCGTGACCGCAGGAGATGACGATGACGTTTCGGCGACCGTGGGAGACGACGATGATGTTTACACGGCCGAGGGAAATGTTCTGACGATTCTGTCTCGATCGCGGAGTACGACGATGACGTTTCCGTGACCGCGTGAGATGACGATGATGTCTACACGGCTGCGGGAAATGTTCATGATTTTGCCGTGATCGCGGACGACGACCATAACGTTTCCGTGACCGCGGGATGACGGTGATGTCTTAACAGTCGCGAGAAATTTTCATGTTTTTGCCGCGATCGCGGACGACGATGACGTTTCCGTGACCGCGGGAGAAGACGATGACGTTTCCGTGACCGCGGGAGACGACGATGATGTCTACACGGCCGCGGGAAATGTTTATGATTTTGCCGTAATCGCGGACGATGACGATGACGTTTCTGAGACCGCGGGAGACGACAATGATGTCATTGATGTCTACAAGGCCGCGGGAAATGTTCATGATTTTGCCGTGATCGCGGACGACGACGATCACGTTTCTGTAACCGCTGCAGTCAATGATGATGTCTAAACTTACGGTACGCGGAAGATTTCATGATAAAAAAACAAATTAGTCCAGGCAAATTAGAACAAATATAGGGTGTGCTCCCCAAAAAATCGTCTAAAGCTAGAAAGTGTTTTAATACCTTTTGGTGGTCCCAAATAAGACTCCTGTGAGTTTGCGACGGATTCTGACGTCTGCTTAAGTTTTGGGAGTCGAAAAACTATGAAAATTTTGCACTTTTTTCAGATTTTTGCTTATAACTCCTAAATAACGAATCCTAAGGAAAATGTTATACGAAGGTGTCTGTTAGTGCATTAAATTCCGCGTCGATTGATGTTAAATACGTCAAAATCGGCCGAGCCGTTTACCCGCTGTAGCTTTTCAAAGTTGGGATATTTGCATCAACATGGCCAAAAGGTTAATTATTTGACCATCGGCTTACAACTCCTAAACGACAAAATACAAAATACAACTCCTATACAAAAAATGTACCTGTAGTTAGTTTGGAAAACACAAAATTCGGCGTAGAATTATCATTATGAATTACTAGATAGTGGTTTATTCCATGGTTATCACCCAGAGGTTTATCCAAGAATGTGTGATGGGAAGGGTAGCAAGACCCCTTATGTATTTTAAATCTAATATTGTTATCTGGTGTTACAAAAATTCTAGGATTTGTCCTTAGCTCCCATTTACACGATCCCATCTCTGGACACTCTAAAATGGTGTTAAGCGATTCTAATATATAATAAGATATTACAACGAGAAAGATTTTATTAAATATAGCAAAAATGTTATTTTTTAGCTTAATAAACGAAAGATGATAATGGGACAGATGTACATAGTTTTACTATGTGTTTAGCCCGTAAAAAAACGATTGAGAGTTTTCGTAAATTTTATCATATAACTTTTCTACTTCTCATCATTGGAATCTTAAGAATGAGGATTCTTTCTTTGCTCTTATTGGTCTTGCCACAAATGGTGACATTCGGTACCATCTTTTTCGTCAGATATCGAATTGAGATAATCGTGTTCCTTTGCAAGTCTTTCAGACAGTAGTGCATTACATCCCTGCATTTTAAAAGGAGCAAGATAATGTAAACCTTTTTCAACATGTACACGATAGTCGAGATAGGTAGACGGAGTTGAGAAGTTCTTGTCGAATCGGTGGATTAACCGTAGTGATGGGAGTTAACCCATTGGCGTTAATTTTCCATACCTATCTCTCTGAATTAAGTACACTTTTAAATGAGCTCTAAAGGATTGGTGGATGAGCAGCCCCTTTTGTTAGAATCAAAGTCAAAAGTTGAAAGTGTCTTCTAGAAGAGACCAACCCTCACTTGATTTGGATATTTTCTGCTCTCAACCATGTATAGGGCCAACCTGCTTCTGCAACTTCGCCAAGCGTTGTAACCCGTCAGAACACAGTGAGATCTACATTGATTGGAGTAAACAGCATGAGTAGTTTTAGGCCACATGAATAGTTGGATTTTTGACTCTTCTACATCACGCTTTCTTCATAATACTGCGCTAGTGGGTACGGACCTATTTTAATCCAAATTATGATTCAAATTGAGGCTTGGATTTAATGTGGAATATCACGTGCTGACTGAGGGGGGCAGATTCTTCTTTAATCTTTGCTGTTGCCATCACAGCTCGCAATTAAGGTCACCACTTCCTTTTATTCTACACAGTTTATGGTCATTATAGGCTTGCCTATTTACGATTTTCTTGCAAGCTGTGCCTTTTCATTATGCTTTATACATATCTCACGTTGATGCTATCATATGGGATAACTGCTGAGCTGATTGACATGAGCGAACTATTTTTAGTAAATGGGTCGTGACACTGGAACAATTTGATGAATTTCTTTTTGATCCCACCGTATCCGTGGAGTTTATATTGTCAACTTGCTGATAATATGTTAAAGAGGTGATCCCACAATATCCCTTAATTTGATGGGTAGCACTCACTGCCAGCGAACCATCGGGCTAGATCCCCATCATTGATTCCCCTATCTCGGAAAAGCTCTCCACAGTAAGATGTTGCTCTCATGAGCACTTGCTTGTTCATAGGCCATGCTGCAGGATCCAAGACGTCACACTAGTGGATAGATTCACTGCCATATCCCCTATGCTTTTGGTAATTAGGCTGGTTGTTTGCCAGATTTCAATGGTAAGATTTTAAACTTCGGAAACTTGACAAGCATCTGATCTAGTGTTAACATTTAATAGCGGTTAAATGGTGAAACCGATCTTAATGAATTGGAAAACATTCTACGCAGACGTTTATGCTCTTCAAACTAACTACAGGAACATTTTTTCTATAGCATGCGTTAGAAGATGTAAGCCAAAAACTGAAAGACGAATACAGGGATAGATCGTATACTATAATGGGTGGTTGGGATGAATCCTGGAATTTTCGGAACCTCAGACAACAATATTAGACTTAAAATTACATAGGGGGCCTTACTGTCATCACACCTTATTAGATAAACCTCTGGATGACCATCATGGAATAAACCACTATCTAATAATTCATAATCCATTTAAGGACAGGATCTATGATGTTACCAATTTTAGTAAAATTTCCCAACTTTAACTTTAATACTTTTTCAATGAAATGGCGACCATACAAAGGAGGTAAAAATCAATTTCCGTTATTGATTAACAAACAAAACATTATACGCAGAATTTTGTGTTTTCCAAACTAACTACAGGTACATTTTTTGTATAGCATGCGCCGTTTAGGAGTTGTAAGCCGAAAACTGGTCAAATAATTAACCTTTTGGCCATGTTGATGCAAATATCCCAACTTTGAAAAGCTACAGCGGGTAAACGGCTCGGCCGATTTTGACGTATTTAACATCAATCGACGCGGAATTTAATGCACTAAAAGACACCTTCGCACAACATTTTCCTTAGGATTCGTTATTTAGGAGTTATAAGCAAAAATCTGAAAAAAGTGCAAAATTTTCATAGTTTTTCGACTCCCAAAACTTAAGCAGATGTCAGAATCCGTCGCAAACTCACAGGAGTCTTATTTGGGACCCCCAAAAGGTATTAAAACACTTTCCAGCTTTAGACGATTTTTTGGGGAGCATATGTCTAATTTGCCTGGGCTAAATTTGCTAGTTAGAATTTTTTATTGCTGCATTATTTCTTTACTTGAAAACACCACATTATCATAATACTACTTTTTGACAAAGACAGGGGTTGGTGTAGTATTATTTAGAAAATTTGGTT